TAGACCAACATTGCATACTGAGTCACTTTTGGACGGCCCCCTGGCCCGGGAGCCACAGGACCTGTGGGACATGTGGGGCCTGCGGGGCAGGCGGGAATGGTGGGATCCTTGGGACTTGTGCAACCTGTGGGAACTGTGGACTTGTGCGACCTGTGGAACGCGCGGGGCCTTTGAAAGCTTTGGGGTCCTTTGTTACCACGATGAGAACCCTCTAGCGCAAAGCAACCAGGAACACAAACATCTCAGGATGAAAATACTTCTCAGACCGAAATAGTTCCTGAACAGTCCGAAGTGGTCGTGATCGGTCTTATTCCCGGGCCGCAAGCCTCTGAAAGGCTTCAGAAAAGCCTCTGAAAGGCTTCAGAGAAGCCTCTGAAAAGCCTCGCTGAGACCTCTCAGAAGCCTCGCTGAGGCCTTTCAGAGGCCTCGCTGAAAGCTCTGCAGAAGCTCAGCACACCCTCTTGGATCGGTTGCAATCCGGTGTTCTTCAGAAAGGTTTGTGTAGGAATCCTTTAGGTTGCAATCAGTCCGTTCCCAATGGTTGCAATCCGACCGAAGTAGTTCCTGAACAGTCCGAAGTTGTTGTGATCGGTCTTATTCACCCCCTTGTGGGTCTCTAGGCGTGTGAATTTTTTCCCACCCCCAGGGACCCCAAACCAGAGGTTTGACCCATAGTAGCATCGAGGGCCCCAAAACGAGCCAAGAGAGCCCCAAGTGGGCCCCAAAACGATCCAAGAGGGCCCCGAATCGTCGAATGATCGTTCTTCCAAGACGCCCAAGATGGCAGCCAGACGGCTCATGATGCCTCCAAAACGCCCCAAGAGGCCTCCAAGAGGCCTCCCAAAGGCACCGAAGAAATGAGAATTGCCCCATTCCCTTAGAAAAACGTATGTTTTAAACATATTCGCCTCTTGCGCTTTCATACCGTGCAAGACTGCCCAGAAGACCCCTAGGACAGCTCCAAGACGGCCCACAAGGGTCCCAAGACCGCCTAAGAAGCCCCTGGACGGCGCCAAAAGGGGGCCCACGGGGGAACACGAACCCACATTTACAGCCTTCGGCCCCAGGACGCCCCCAGGTTGCCTCAAGAAGCCTCCAGCACGCCCCAAGAAGCCTCCGGGGAGCCCGAGCAGGGCCCCCGAACGCTCCCAAGAACCTCCTAGGAATCGGGCAAGCCTCGTGGAATGCAGTCCTGGACGCGCAGTAGTTTATAGTGGTCGGCGGATGTGGCGTAAGCCTATAAAATCTCTCTTGCAGCGGGATGTTGTTGAGCACTGAGTGTTGCGATGGAGACGAAGGCTGTTGAGTTCTGGATAATGTGTTGGCGACGGATACTGTTAAGTACTGGGTGTTGTTCTGAACACTGGAGCACGGGGGGCGGGCGGCAGGCGGCTGCCGGATCGAGATGTTGATAGAATTCCAGAGGACCTTCTCTTGCAGCGGGATGCCGTTGAGTACTGGGTGTTGTGTTGGGGACGGAGGTTGTTGACTATTGGGTGTGGTGTTGAACACGAAGGGTGTGGAGAACTGAGAGTTGTGTTGACACTGGAGCACGGCGGGCACGCGGCGGGCGGCGGGCGGGCGGCGGGCGGATCGGAATTTGAACGGAATTCCAAAGGATTTGCTCTTGCAGCGGGATGCTGTCGAGTGCTGGGTGTTGCGTTGGAGACGTAGGCTGTTGACCACTGGGGCACGATGCCTCCAAGCTAAGGAGGAGTGGGACGCACAAGAACATACTAGTCCTGTGCGTCTTCCCTGAAGGCGCGCGTCCGACCCGAGCATGAGTATAACCATCTTGTGATAAATCGTTTCCAAACCGACATATTGCCAGACCACGGATCTAATACTACGAGTCATGAGTCATGAGATTTCTCGGCGCGCGCGTCGCCCCTGGGAGGGCAACGCACACACACACACACACACACACACACACACACACACACACACACACACACACAAACAAACAAACAAACAAACAAACAAAATTCTTTATAAAGTCGGCAAGGGGTGCGGCATAAAGGGGCGTAGTGCCAATCCTGGAAATGGCGATGCTATCTACGATAGATAACACCGCCAGATTCAGCATTGGCACCACACCCCTTGGCACCACACCCCCTTCCCTACCCCAAGATGTTAGCGTGTTGGGGTGACGCCGGGGGAAGGAGCCGGCGGAGGAGCGGGGAGGAGCGAGCGGGAGCGGGGAGGCGGGGCGGGAGCAGCGGGAGGCGGCGGGAAGAGCGGGCCGGGCACAGCAGCGGCGGCGGGAGAAGGCGGGAGATCGGGGGGGGTAGCAGCACGAAGAGCAGAAGTTGGCGGCGCGCACACAGGGGTTTAGGAAAAAGTTGTTTCCTGGCGGAGCCGGGTGACATTCCGTGCCCTCCGCTGACTGGCCGACTGAACTGAACTGCCATGAATTGACTGAACTGGAAGGGCACTTTTGACAACACATTCAAGACCGCACAGGCGCAATCGCAACCGCAACTAGGCGGCAAGTTTCAACCCACCCGCGGGCGCAATCGCAACAGCAACCAGGCGACACATTTCGACCCGCCCGTGGGCATCAACCACAACCGCAACAAAACGACACACGTCAACCCCCCCCCCGGCCGCAACCGCAACCACAACCAACAAACACATTTCAACCCGCCCGCGGGCCCAACCGCAACCGCAACCGCAACCTGACGACAAAATTCAACCCGCACGCTGGCGGAACCGCAACCGCAACCTGGCGACACAATTCAGCCCGCCCGCGGGCGCAACCGCAATCGCAACCAAGCGACACATTCAACCCGCCCGCGGGCCCAACCGCAACCGCAACCGCAACCAACCACCCATTGCAACCAGCCCGCGGGCGCAACCGCAACCGCAACCGAAACCCAGCTACACATATCGACCCGCCCGCGGGCGCAACCGCAACCCGTTTCGACACATTTCGACCGCGGGTGCAACCGCAACAACAGGCGACACAATTCAACCCGCCCGCGGGCGCAACCGCAACCGCAACCGCAACCAAGCGACAAAATTCAACCCGCACGCTGGCGGAACCGCAACCGCAACCTGGCGACACAATTCAACCCGCCCGCGGGCGCAACCGCAACCGCAACCAGGCGACACATTCAACCCGCCCGCGGGCGCAACCGCTACCGCAAACCAGCTACACATTTCGACCCGCCCGCGGGCGCAACCTCAACAAGGCGACACATTTCAAACCGCCCGCGGGCGCAACCGCAACCGCAACCGCAACCAAGCTGCACAGTTCAACCCACACGCGGGCGCAACCGCAACCGCAACCTGACGACACATTTCAACCCGCCCGCGGGCCCAACCGCAACCGCAACCGCAACCAACCGACCCATTGCAACCAGCCCGCGGGCGCAACCGCAACCGCAACCGAAACCCAGCTACACATATCGACCCGCCCGCGGGCGCAACCGCAACCAGGCGACACATTTCGACCCGCACGCGGGTGCAACCGCAACCGCAACCAGGCGACACATTTCAACCCGCCCGCGGGCCCAACCGCAACCGCAACAAGGCGACACATCTCGACCCGCCCGCGGGCGCAACCGCAACTGCAGTCTGACGACACACTTCGACCAGCCCGCGGGCCCAACCGCAACCGCAACCAACCGACCCATTGCAACCAACCCGCGGGCGCAACCGCAACCGCAATCCAGGCACATTTCAACCCGCCCGCGGGTGCAACCGCAACCGCAACCAAACGACACAATCGACCCGCCCGCGGATGCAACCGCAACAGCAACCACAACCTGGCGATACACTTCAACCCGCCCGCGGGCGCAACCGGAACCGCAACCCAGGCGACACATTTCAACCCACCCGCGGGCGCAACCGCAACCGCAATCGCAACCAAACGACACATTTCAACCTGACCGCAGGCGCAACCGCAACCGCAACCAAGCAACACAATTCAACCCACCCGCGGACGCAACAACAACAACCGCAACCGCAACCAAGCGACGCATTCAAACAAGCGACACCTCTCAACCCGCCCGCGAGCCCAACAGCAACCGCAACCTGACGACACATTTCAACCCGCCCGCGGGCGCAACCGCAACCGCAACCGCAACCCAAGCGACACAATCCTCCCGCCCGCGGGCGCATCCGCAACCGCAACCAGGTGACACATTTCGACCCGGCCGCGGGCGCAACCGCAACCGCAACCTGGCGACACATTTCAAACCTCCCGCGGGCGCAACCGCAACCGCAACCGCAACCAAGCGATACATTTCAAACCGTCCGCGGGCGCAACCGCACCCGCGAACCGGCTACACATTTCGACCCGCCCGAGGGTGCAACCGCAACCGCAACCGCAACCAAACGACACCTTTCAACCCGCCCGCGGGCGCAACCACAACCGCAACCGCAACCCGAGCGACACAATTCAACCGCCCGCGGGCGCAACCGCAACCGCAACCAGGTGACACAGTTCGGCCCGCCCGCGGGCGCAACCGCAACCGCACCCAGGTGACACATTTCGACCCGCCCGCGGGCGCAACCGCAACCGCAACCTGGCGACACATTTTGACCCGCCTGCGGGCGCAACCGCAACCGCAACCAGGCGACTCATTTCAACCCGCCCGCGGGCGCAACCGCAACCGCAACCGCAACCAAGCTGCACAAGTCAACCCGCCCACGGGCGCAACCGCAACCGCAACCAGACGGCACATTTCGACCCGCCCACGGGCGCAACCACAACCGCAACCTGGCGACACCTTTCAACCCGCCCGTGGGCGCAACCGCAACCGTAAACAGGCGACACCTCTCAACCCGCCCGCGGGCGCAACCGCCCAAGGAGCAGGAGGTCCAGGAACACGAGGAAGAGGAGGAGGAGGAGGAGGAGGAGGAGGAGGAGGAGGAGGAGAAGAAGGAGGCGGAGAAAATGTCCTCAAACCTCGAACCCCGAGCACGAGGAGCAGCAGCGGCGGCGCGCCGCGGCGCGGCGCGCGGCGGGACGACGCCGCTGCGCAGGCTGAGGCCTCGACCAGCCTGGCGGGGTCGATCTGCCCGAACTTGGCCTCGAGGTCCACCTGACGGGCAACGATAAGGGGGGAATGGCATCCCTGATATCCTGGCGTCTCCACTTTTACGAGCCAGGCATTGTCGCCCAGATCCGGGCCCTGGGGCCCTCACAGATCGATCAGGCTGGAAAAATGGCGCAAAAAGATAGGGTATGGGGGTTCAGTCGTGATTTCTCACGATGTCTCAATGTTTTCGAACGTCGGATCTCAGGGATAGGGGGGACGCATCGACCTGGAATCGGCGATGCATCGTCGACAGATCGGCGACAAGCCCCCGATGGCAAGACCGCACCTTCCTGGGTGGGTTGGGGCCCTCGGGCCCCCCCATCGACGATCAATTCAGTGTGCCGGCAAGTAGCGTCGCGCATTGAGCAACAACGGCGACCACGGCTACACTCAGTTACACCTAGTTATACCTAATTACACCTAGTTACACGCACTTACATCCAGTTACACCTGGTAATACCTAGTAACACCTAGTTACACCTATTTACACCTAGCTACAAGCAGCTACACCTAGTTACACCTATTTACACCTAGCTACGCAGTTACACGCAGTTACACGCAGTTACACGCAGTTACACGCAGTTACACGTAGTTCCAAGTAGTTACTATCTGAGGGCAGGCCCTGATGCGGCAAAGCGCCGCTAGAAAATTACATGTAGATTCACATGCAGAGGCGTGGGGGAAATTACCTACAAGACTAACCTTTTGTACGGAATTTTCCGTCTTCTCTGGCGCGGCCGACGACGATCACAACAACGACGACGACGACGACGACGACGATCAAGCAGCCGCCACCGACGCCGACGACGACGACGACGACCCTGACAACCCTGACGACCAAGACGACGACGAAGACGACGATAACGACGAAGACGACGACGACGACGACGACGACGACGACGTTCAAGACGACCAAGACGACCAAGACGACGACGAAGACGACAACGACGACGACGACGACGACGCTCGGATTTCGGCTTTCGGACGCTCCAAGACAGCCAAAGAGGTAGCTCTTCAAGAGGCCCCCCAAGAGGCCCCATGACGGCCCAAGAAGGCCCCAAGACGGCCCCAGAGGCCTCCAAGACGGTCAAGAGGCCCCCAAGACGGCTGCAAAAGAGGTTCCGGACGGGGGACCCGAACGGAAATTTCGGGCCCTCGGATCCAAGACGCATCCAGAGGTCCCCAAGAGGTCCCCAAGAGGCCCCAAAAGGCTCCCAAGTGGCTTCAAACCTGCTTCGAAGAGGCCTCCATGGGACCTACCACGAGATCCCAACGAACACTCCAGAGGCCTCTGACTCACAACCCAGGCACGGTGGCGGGATGGTCCGAAGGCAATTAGATCCGCCGCCCCCTTTTGATTCATCACAGGGGTGCCTGGCGTGCTAGACCCTTTCGGATTTTGGTTTTGGTTCTTTTCCAAAAGAACTCCCCCCGTGCCTCTGGCGCGTCCCGCCGGCCTCCCGGGAAAGATTGCCAATGACCTCAATCCGGAAAAAAATCCTCCAAGATGGTCCAAGATGGCCTCCAGGATGGCCACGTTGGCCCAAGATGGCCTCCAAGATGGTCCAAGATGGCCTCCAAGTCCGCCCAAGAGAGTCCAAGATACCTCCAAGGTTGCCCGAGAAGCCTCCAAGACGGCCCAACACGATCCAAAAAGCCTCCAAGAGGCCCTCCAGAAGGGCTCGAAGAGGCCAAAATCATTGATTTTCCTTACGTGTTTGAAGGATTTCGGCATGTACTTCTTCTCAGCATTCCGACGGCTCAAGACGGCCCAAGAGGCCCCCAAGATCGCCTAAGAGGCCTCTAAGAGGGCCCCATGACGGGGCCAAGAGGCTTCCAGGACGGCCCCAAGAGGGCCCCAAGATGGCCCAAGAGGCCTCCAACACGCCAAAGATGGCCTCCAAGACGGCCCAAGAGGGCCCCAAGATGGCCCAAGAGGCCTCCAACACGCCCAAGATGGCCTCGAAGACGGCCCCGAAGCGCCCCAAGAGGATCCCAAGTCGGTTCAGAGAGGCCCCCAAGACGATCCTCCCCCAAGTGTTCCCCGAAGGGTTTCCACAACGGATTGGGGAACACATGGTCCGATAGCTTGGCAGAGCTCTTGCCAAATCGCTCGGACACATTGGCGATTTCAAACTCTTGCTCCCCCACGCGTTCCCCGAAGGCTTTCCGAAGAAAACTCGGGGAACAACTGGCCCGATAGCCTGGCCAAGTTCTAGCCCAGCAGTCGGCCACATAGGCGCTTCCACAAGGGCAGGGGGCGGCGGTGATTCACCAGAGGCGTAGTTGATAGGTTCCAAGTTTGTCTCCATTGACCTCATCTTCTTCCTCCTCCTCCTCATCTTCCTTTCCACTTCCTTCCTCTCCTCCTCCTCCCACCTCCTCCTCCTCCTCCTCCTCCTCCTCCCTCCTCCTCCTCCCTCCTCCCTCCTCCCTCTCCTCCTCCTCCTCCTCCTCTCTCCTCCTCCTCCTCCTCCTCCTCCTCCTCCTCCTCCTCCTCCTCCTCCTCCTCCTCCTCCTCTCCTCCTCCTCCTCCTCCTCCTCCTCCTCCTCCTCCTCCCTCCTCTCCTCCTCCTCCTCTCTCCTCCTCCTCCTCCTCCTCTCCCCCTCCCCCTCCCCCTCCCCCTCCCCTCCCTCTCATCCTCCTCCTCCTCCTCTCCTCCTCCTCCCTCCTCTCCTCCTCCTCCTCCTCCTCCTCATTATCCTCCTCTCCTCCTCCTCCCTCCTCCTCCTCCTCTCTCTTCCTCCTCGTCTTCCTTCTGCTTCTCTCATCAGCATCAGCATAATCGTCATCATCATCATCATCATCATCATCATCATCATCATCATCATCATCATCATCATCATCATATCATCATCATCATCATCATCATCATCATCATATCATCATCATCATCATCATCATCATCATCATCATCATCATCATCATCAATCAATCATCATCATCATCATCATCATCATCATCATCATCATCATCATCATCAATCATCATCATCATCATCATCATCATCATCAGCATCATCATCATCATCAGCAGCAGCATCATCAGCATCATCATCATCAGCATAATCAGCATCATCAGTATCATCATCATCAGTAGCATCAGCAGCATCATCATCGTCAGCATCAGCATCATCAGCATCATCATCGTCAGCATCAGCATCATCAGCATCATCATCATCGTCATCATCAGCATCATCATCATCATCAGTATCATCATCATCAGCATCATCATCATCGCCATCATCATCACCATCATCAGTATCATCATCACCATCATTATCATCATCATCATCATCATCGCCAACATCATCATCATCATAATCATCACCAGCATCAGTATCATCATCATCGTCATCATCATCATCACCAGCAGTATTATCATCATTTGCATCAACATCAACAGCAACATCAACATCAACATCATCATTATCATCAGCAGCATCATCATCAGCATCATCATCTTGTTTCTCCCCTCACACTCCCCAACTCTCCCTCCTTTCCCTATCACCCTGCCGACGCTACGTACCCTGAGGGACCCAATCACAACAAGTTGCTGGGCGCCCTGCGGTGGGATGGAACCTCCTTCGCTGTACCATCTCGCCCCCCCCCCCCGCAGGAGGCACGGCGCCCAACAGTCCGATGCTCAAAAACGGGCACTGGCTGGAATCAGAAAGAGAAGCACAAAACATGATTACGTGGACCGCCTACGACTCGTCAGCAGCTTCGGTACAAAAAGGCAGTCCTACGAACGTGGCCGAAATTCGGGGGACAAATCCTGCCCCTCTACGGCAATCTGAGCCGCCGACGCGGTGCAAGCTATCGTGTCCAGCGCACTCTTGGAGTCAAAACTGTGTCTGACCTGTCGCCTCTGGGGAGGGCGGCCGGCCCTGACGACCCCGAGGCGCGAATTAAATGATTAAGTAATGGGGGCCCCTGATTTGGGGTGAAGCCCCTTCTGGACCTTGCCGACTTTCCTTCTAATACCAGCAATGGCCCGAGGCTCGGAGGGGGGCCCAGTGCAATCTACGTTGAGACCGCTCCGTCCCGCCCACCCAAAGTCTCTCGTACAGGAAACCCCGCACTTCGTGCACATCACGACACGGCCGTGCGCGAGAAGCTCGTGCCCTCTCTCGCGGAACAGCTCCAACACGGAATCTTGGTCCTCCGTGGGGATCGGCGCCGTCGGCCCCAGGACCGCATCAGCGGCCGCCAAGGCCAGGGAAACCACGGAGCCCCGAACACGACCCCGAAAATCGTGGATGACCAAGCCCGACTGCAGGAAAAACTGTCGTCAATTATACCTGTCGGTCGGAGAAGGGGAGCACTTGCCCGAGAGCAGGTGCGCCAAGTGCCCGTCCGTGCGGGCCACACAGTCACAGACCTTACAACTGTACTCCTTACGCGGTTCGACCCACACGAGGTCGTGCTGCACCACGCCGAGAGCATTCGCGGGCACCGGGACGGGAGGCCTCCTTACCGGGGCAGCTCGCCCGTCGTGCCAGAGGTCCAGACCCATCGCCCGAACGACGGCCCAGGACACGGATTGCAGAATGGCCCGAGCCCGTTTGAGCTCGGCTACCAAAAAATCGCAACAACCCTGGGAAACCGCGTGTTGGTGGGCCCCGAGCTTCGCGAACCAGTCGGCCCACATGTTTCCCACCCACCACCTGAAGGGGATCCCCAATTCCAGGGCCTCCTCTAAGGTTTTGTGGGCGGGGGCCCAAGAAAAACTGGGACCTGAGGACCCGCGCACCTGAAAAATGTTGCGCCTGATTCGAGCGTGCTTGCCCCTCGCCGAATCGAGAGACCGATCCCACGACGACCCCTCGACGACCAACGACGACAAGTCCGCGACGACGTGTTCGATGCGGCGAGGGGCGTGCTCAAGCACGCGAAACACTGCCCACCTCTCGACTCTCCCGACCCGCTGGATGCCGGGGAGGGCGCCGTAAATGGCGCGTACGGGGAGGAGGTGGTCGTTTAACTGCACCGCCGCGTAGCCACACCGCGTCACCTCTGGCATAGCGCTCGCAAGGCCCGAACCATCTGTGCAGGCTTCGGGGCCCCAGCGATCGGGAGCAGAGTCGCCCCAAACCAAAACTGGCAAAACAGATGCAGCGGGCGGCACAGAAAAAGCGTGCGGCACGGAGGCGATACCGTACGCGCACTCAGTGGACTCCCAATTCTCCGCGGCTCCGAGGTCGACCAGCTGCTGCCTCGTCTCCAGCGTCGCGTCGGAGATCTCGGGCACGGCAGGCTGGTCGACGGGCTGGGTGGCCGTAGGTGCCCTCGGCGGCCCCGCAAGCCCGGCACTTCGGGTCGCCGACTCCCTCCAGCGCCATGCGACGCTCGGGCGTGACGTAGCGCCCCGACCATAGCGTCTGGATGGCGCCCAGCTGTCTGGCGGGCAAGTCCCGCAGGCCCAGGCGAAGGCCTCTCATCCACGAACGCCCGTCTGACAGAGGAAGGTGCACGTGCTGCGCCACGCGGGCACCCTGCCACCGCTGGATGCCCAGGAAGAGGTGGTGGCGCAAGTCCTCGGGGCAGACCTGCAGCAAGCTGAAGACCGTGCCGATGTCCGAGCGGATCTGCGTGGACGAAACCATGTCCCATCCCAGGAGGCGGAGCGACAGCCAGGTCGCCGCGATCGGGCCCTTGGCCAAGAACCAAGACGGCCGCTCCAGCATGTCGGCCTCCAACGCCAGCCAAGCTCGCTGCAGCCTCGCAGGCGGGACACGGTTGTCCCAGAGCCAAGCCGCGTAGCGGAGCACCAGCGGCACCGACGCCTCGAAAATGGGGTCGTACCTCGCGTTGGCCTGCGAGGCCAAGTAGGTGGTCACTCCTCCACCGGTGCTCCAGCCCGCCAGCACGGCGGCCGAGTTCCGGAGGAGCCGCAAGCGGCCGTCGTCGACGCCCGAGACCCAAGCGCCGTGCAGCACCGAGGGCGACAAGCCTGTGCTCCAAAGGTGCGCAACCTTGCGCCCCGCGCCCTTCTGCAAGATGCGGAGCCGTCTTCGGCGCGCCTGGAGGGCGCTGATACGGGAGTCGGCCTGCTCCCGCCGTATCCGTGGGCCCACCAGGTCGTGGCCCAGGTTGCGGATGCACTTCCGCGGAAGCAAGCCCAGGGAGCGGGCCTTGTCGGCGAACCGCTTCTGGAACCGCCCGCGGTTGAAGATCACGCCCGATTTGGACGGCTCGACTCTCAAGCCGAGGGCGAAGACGCACTCCGAGAAATCCCGCGCGGCTGTCTGCAGGTCCGACGCGTCAGCGTCGGCGGACCCCACGAAGTGCGAAGTGGTGTCGTCCATGAGCTGGCGGGGCGTGATGGACGGGCTCCGCTGCAAAAGCCGGCGAATGGTCCTGCGCGTCAGCACGAATAGCAGCGTCGGCGCGTGCGAGCAGCCCGCCCCCCCCCGCAGGAGGAGGAAGTGGAGGAGGAGGAGGAGGAGGAGGAGGAGGAGGAGGAGGAGGAGGGGAGGGAGGACGAGCAGGAGGAGGATGAGAAGATATAATGCCATAGGATGTGCCCGCCGCACGCGCCAAATTCGAAATCTGCCGACAAGAAGCCTGTCGACTGAACGAAATTAATTGCCAACAACAGCTTTACACGAAGCCCGCCGTATGCGACGATTTCGAACACCAACAACAGGCAAACGGCTCCTGACTGAAACGGACACTGCAACGGACTGACACTGGGTGTAACGAGAGAATAAGAGGCCCGCCGCAGGCGCCGATTTCGAACACCAAACATCTGGGGGTGTGAAGCTGAGAACAACGTACTGTAGCCTAGAGAAATTCAGTGTAAGTGCTGGGTTGTTACAGGGATCTGGGCGGAAGGCTCCCATGCACCAAATCACACGTAGTACCCATCGCAGCCGATGTGACTACGCGCTACCACGCGCAAGTGGGTGTAATTAGACCTGAGACAACCCAATCAGTGGATGATTTGAAAATTAATACGATGGATCTTGGGATCGATTGTGAGATCGATAAGAAGATCGATAGTGGAATCGATGGTGAGGACGATTGTAAGGTCGATCGTGAGACCGAGAGTGAAATCGATTCGATGACATCGATAGTGAGATCGATCGCGAGATCGCACATGCGATCTCTAATGAGATCGCGTGTGAGATCGACAATGAAATCCATTGTGAGATCGATGGTGAGATCGATAGAGAAAAGGGTAATGAGATCGATGGTGAGACCGATCGATAAGAAAATCGACCAGGAACCCGGGCACACGGGAACCTTGGCGCCCTCCGAAATCGGGCCGGAACCCGGCCCCGGGAACCCGGGAACCCAGAACCGGGAACCCGGGAACCCAGCCAGCAACCAAAATCGGAGGGGAACTTTCGCCAAATCCTTCAACATCCGCGAGGACCCCTGCAGTGAAAAAACTGATTGGGGAACTGAGTGTAGGTGAAGATAATAGAAACAGCCGAGCGTAGCCGACTGTAGCCCGAGCGTAACTGAGTGTAGCTGCGTAGTGGGACCCAGCGCAACCCAGTGCCACTCGGAGCAACCTGGTGTATCTGAGTGTAACTGAGTGTAGCTGAATGTAACTGAGTGTAACTGAGTCTAACTGCGCGCAACTGAGTGTAACTGAGTGAAACTGCGTGAAACTGAATGTAACTGAGTGTAACTGAGAGTGCCAGGATCCGCTCGCGCCGACGCCGGCGGCGGCCACAATGGATCCATGGGCGATTGGGGGTCGATGCATCCCCCTCGATGCCTTTCCCCCCCTATCGTTGAGCCCGGCGGGTCTGCGGGGCCACGGGGGCGCCAAAAAAGCCCTGCAGAGAGGAAAACACTGGACGGTGGCAATTGGCGCCTTGAGGTATCAGGGTCAGAGTTGTGGAGGTACGTTGCCACCCCTACCTACGGCGACGGCCGTCTTCGTTGGCCACGCGGCGAGCGTATCCATATATCTTCGCCATCGCGGGCCAGGCCCCCCGAGCGCGATCCAGCGGATGCGCAGTCGCATGGATGCGACTACGCGCGGGGCGTCTGCGGCGCAACGCCCCACATCCATGGTGTCGCGGCCCATGGGGCCCGGTCCGCCAGGCCATGGATACGGATATATTTTCCGCCCACGAGAGGGGTGAGGAGGGAGAAGCAGGGAAGCAAGGAGGGAGAGGGGAGGGAGGGAGAGAGGAGAACAGTGAGCAGCGCAGGCGTGTTAGATTGGTCACACGGGCAACGCAGGCAGGCAAGGCAGCACTGGCCATACGTGTATAGTCCTCGCGAGCGCTGGCGAGGCTAGGCGGCCCTGGAGGCCTGCGGGCACCACTGGGGCAGAAGTCGGGGCGAAAGCCCCCCCTGGAGCAGAGTCCACCTGGAGCGAAGCTCAACACGTGCTGGGCCCCACGCTGGTCCCAATAAGGCCCCAAGATGGCTACACGATGGTGCCCATGTGGCACCAAGAGCACCCATGATGGCTCAAGACAGCCCGGTGGACTGCACATGGCCCAAGGTCGGCGAATAACCTCTACATCGGAGGCTCTCAAGATGGCTAGAATGTTGATACACACACACATTCAATCATACCTACGAACATACATACGTGTACTATACGACCACCCTTCAGGTGGCAAGGATTTTTGCGGGTGGGGGGTAAGAACCAAGTGCTGGCAAGTGCGATGAGTGTGATGATGACGATGCTGGTGAGTGACGCGCCTTCGAGCTAGCGACGACGCATGATTATGATTTTGCGCTGCGAATGTGACTACCGCATTCGCTTTAAATATCACTCGATCGATTCCGCAATCGACCTCACATGATCGATCACACTCGATCGATCTCCATATAAATATCACTATAGATTTCACGTCCGACCTCACGATCGATATCACTATCGATCTCATTATCGGTTCCTCGGTCGATCTCACTATCACTTTCACGATCGATCTCACACCCAGTGTCCGAATCAACCTCGCTGTCGATATTAATTTTGATCTCATGTCCATCCCACTCTAGCGATCGCATTATCGATTCTACGATTAGCTTCACTATCGATACCAAGGCGGGAAGCCCCCAGCCACCGCCCACCCACCGCCGGCGGAACACCGACGGAACACCAACGGGACACCACAGGACACTACAGCGGGACACCCCGGCCACCGTGCGCCCACCAGGGGCGGAAGGGCGGTCCACTGCATCCGAATTGCCCTAGCGACGGCGGGGTCATTCCTCTCGCGCGCCCACGCAGCTTCGCCTCGCCAACACGCACGACACGAACACGAAACCGAAACCGATTTCCTTGTGGGGGGCTTTCCGTTCCACTGCGATCTCATCCCCCAACCTCCGACGCACGCCACCGTGCCCTGAGGCACGACTTGGAATGTCCTCGGGACTTTGACCTAATCCGTAAGCCCCGCTCCTCAATCCTGAAAGCTGTTCAACGGGCCCAAACCCCAAAAAATTCTCAAATATCCCGGGGTTTGCCGAGTGCCCTCTGGGCTCACTCGAACTGAATGTTCCCGCGTAGTTGTTCGGGACCAAGAGGGGCCTAAGACGGCCCAGCTGACCCCCAGGAGCCTCCCCCTGACTGTCCAGGATAGATCCACGACGCCCAAGATGGCCTGAAGACGGCGAGGGAGGCGCCCAAGACGCCCCAAGAGAGACCCATGACCCTCCAAACAGGACCCAAAGAAGCAGCAAAAACCATCAAACTCCCTCGGGAAAAACAGCGGGTTTCACGAGCCCCTGCTGCCACTGCAGGTCGAGAGGCACGGACAGGTCGCTCTCGCTGGTCTGCGTCAGAATGTCGCACTCCGACGCCCGCACCACAGAGGTCAAGAAGGCTGACGCACATCCTCCGGCAGCGGGAGGGCGACCTGCCCAGCCCCAAGCGCGAGCACGTCGGGCGGGCGCACGTAGGTCTCGAACGCGATGACGATGGCGAGCCCGCTCGGAAGCCCCCCTGCCCGGCCAAGACGACGCGCCGCAGCCGGCGCGAGGAGGAAGGGCGCGGGCGGCAGGGACTTGGACGGCCCAGGCACACCCCCGCCCTTAAGCGTTTGGTAGGACAGTGGGAAGGCCTCGCGGACCCCCGCCCTGCGGAGGGCGGGCCCTGCCCAGAGCAACGCCGGCGCCAGTCGCCGCGCCGCCGACTTGGAGCCCCCTGGATCGTTGATCGAGTCGATGTACTCCGCGAGGGTCTCGCCCCAGGCCCGGCGGTTCCAGTCCGGGAAGCAGCTCGAGCCTGGCCAGCGCGCCAGGCCAAGGATGGTCCCCAGGTAAAGCTCCGGCGCCCAAGGGCGCACCTCGGCGGCTGCCGGCCTTCCCCAAAGAGGGCGCGGGCGGCGCATCCAGGTCGGAGTCGCTCGCCGAGGGGTCGCGGCCACGCCCTGCGCGCCGCCCAGCCAAGACCGGCGCGACCCCAGGCCCGGCCAGCGCCGGGGCCACGGCGGCTCGCCGCGGCGGGGGCCGCTCGCAGGGCGCACGGCTCCCGGGCGCGCTCGGCTCGCGAGGCGCGAAGCGACAGCTCGGCCTGGCCACTGGCGCGGGCGGCCCGGCCCACGGCGTCGCCACCTCCGCGCGGCCCCGCGCGCGCGCCGCGGGCGGCGCAGGCGCCGCCCGGCGCGCCATCGGCGCGCCGCGGCCGCAGGCTGCGGCTGGAGGCGGCACGAGGGGCGTCGCTTAGATTCCACTATGAAGAGACCAACTTGACCTGCAGCAACAAGTCGGCTGCGACGCTGACAGCGAACAACACCGGGCAGACCCCCAAGAGACGACGATTGGCAGCCCTCCATTTCGCCGCAGCCAGGGCGAGCGACATGTCACCACCAAGGAAAAGCCTGCGCGAGCAGCGCTGACGGGCGTCTCTGGCAGCGCGCCTCACGGCGCAACTCAGAGCAGCACCCTCAAGGCCGTGAACGGCTTCCTTTCGCCCCCAGCGGCCGCGCCAGGCCCCGGCCTGCATCTTGCCGAAATCGACCTCAGGGAAGCCAGCCGCGCGCCCAGCAAGCAGGAGGGCGGGCTCCGAGGCCAAAGCGGTCTCGCGCTCGAGCGCCCTTTCCCGCGGAGCACCGTCGGTCGCTAGCGCCCCCCTGAAGCGGGCGCGCTGAGACCCGCCCACGCGCTGGACGTCGTCGGGGCCCCACTCGGCCCCCAGGGAGCCGCGGCCCCGGGGCGACGCGTCGAAGCGCGCGACGACGTCGCCCCACGGCCGCTCGGCGTCGGCGCGGGGGCGAGGGACAGCGCCAAGACCCAGCCCATCTCCCGCAACACGCACTACCAGAGGGTCGTCGCTTGGAATGGGAGGCCCGCGCGAACTCGCGCGAGTAGCGCAGCATGGCGAGCCCCT